TTGATAATCTAACAGTTTAGCAGAAAAATTAGTGAAATAGGGAAATATATATAATAATGTTTACCCTATAAAAACATTAGTACATTTTAACAAATCTGTTAGTAATTACAGTTGTACTGACTATAGGTATAAGTTTGCATAAAAAACCCATTGTCAAAAGTAGTGTACAAGTTATTGAACTTTTTAAAGACGTAGCTAAAAGTGACCTATGTCTCGGAATAGTAAATATTATAAAGGAAAATTAAAATAAAAAATTAAAATAGTTACGTTAAAAAAAAAAAAAAAAAAAAAAAAAAAAAATATATATATATATATAATATTTAACTTTTTATTCTGTGTAGCATAATTAAATAAACATTTAAAATTTAAATTGTCATGGCAACTATGTCTGAGTAGTGGTGAATATATAACTATTTTATTATTATATCATTATTATTATTTTTTTTTTTTTTTGCTACTGGCACTATCTTTTACAAAGCATAAACATAATATTATAATAAAGCATTGAACATATTGTAATTCCTAAAAATAATATATTCTTAGACGAACAAAATATCCATGATAGATCAATTTTTTATGGAAAAATATTTGTATAAATGATGATAAATTTCCTTCTTTCTCAGTATGAAACATTTTTATTAAACAATGTAATTAAAGAATAGACCTAATTAAATATATTGGTGAAAAGTTATAAATATTATGATTTTACTTTATTGTGATTATTTAAAAATAATTCTAATTCGTGTGAACAATTTGAGAGTAAGTGTAAATAGTATATACATAAATAGCGTATGAAAAACATATGCTATTTTTCTGTGGGTTCATTCAAAAAAGGATGGACTCAATTTGAACATACATTATTAACCACATGGGACGATAATAACGGTAAATGAAGAAGCCATGGGCCCTCTAGTGGTGTTTTGTAAAATGTTATAAGGATGTCCTAATGTATAAGTATTAAGCTTATTTACCTTATGAGCTAATGCAGCACAATATTACTAGAATAATAAAATTATTACTGAATAAGAGCTTAATAATAATCACCTAGTGATCAAATATCTATTAATTTACACATGCATGTTATTATCTTATGTGTTTATTAGAAAGTATACCAGAAAATTAAAAAAAACACATGTGCACAAAATTGTAATATATGAAAAGTCGTTAAATGGGTTACGTGAAAAAAATATTTCATATATGAAATATATTCTCATAAAAAATTTACACATTTTTAAAAGTAACTTCTTATATTTGTATAGCGTTAAATGTGTTCACAAAAATTGTAATAATGTGTCAGTGTGGAAAACTTTGAACATTTTACAATTTCACTTGACATGGCGAATTTAAAAAAGAAAAAAAGGATTATCGTAAAATTAGTAGAGGAAGTAATTAAAGACGTACTTTCTCATCTAATTTGTCATAGTTAAAGTTGTTAGCTAAACAGTCTAATTGTTTGCGATGAAAATGGTATTAAAGGCTTTAGGACATTAATAGTAAACATATGGTTTGTTATGATTCTAATATTTATAATTTTATTACACAAGTGTAAAATAAAAATCATAAATTCGTAAAGAACGTTCTCAGAGGTATAAATATGTGGAACATACATAATGGCTATATAAAGAATATATAATTAAAAAAAAATATCGTTTTATCTTTTTCATCTTAAATCCTTTCCGCTTATTTGATTATTATAAAACAAAAGTAATAACTATATAATTTGTTATTATATTTTTTTATTGTTTTTTTTTTTTTTTTTTTTTCTTTGTTATAATTAAGAACAGTTTGGTGCTTTTCGAAGAAGACCTTTTTTTTTTATAACGTGAAATCATTTAGTTTTTTCCACGGGAGAAATATAATCGATTATTAAGCCATTGATACTTGTTCTTTAGGATATTGTGGTTTTCATTAAATAATAAAATTTAATTTAAATACCCTTTTCTTCATTCTTATTTATATGTGTATATTTCAAACATTGTGATTTGTTTGAAATGAATGCGTCCTAAGCGCTTTAAAATATTTATTATCATGTCACATTAGCATGTATTAATGGGAATTGAATTAATATGTCTTTAGCAGACTCCATCATCATAAAATGTCTATTTCACTTGAAGAATAAAAATGGAATAATCATTAGTAAAAACATCGTCATAAATCAGATAATAAGAGATGCACGAAATTGTAAGTAGTGAATTTTGTTATGAAAAAAAGAAAAACAAAAATTTATAAATGTCCAACTTGTTATTTTAATAACGATATAACATTATATTTTGATAGTAAATTTCATAAAAAATAGTGCTTCCCCGTTTATTAACAATTGTTACGTAGAAAATAATGCAAAAAAAGAAAAAAAAAAAAAAAAAAAACTTTCATTAGTAAAGAGGGCATTAAGCAAAATAAATAACATCCAAGCGTGTAAAAAATGAGAAACGGATGATAAATTTAAAATTTGTACACATAAATAATTAGGCTTAACTGACATAAAATTCCATGATCCAGTAATTATAATATGCACATATGTAAACTTTTTTTTCAGAAAAAATATAATTTGAAAAAATTATATTATGCACATTAATAATTATTAAAAGATTTACACCCATTATTCGTGGAATTATATGAAATATACCCTATATTTTCTTATAACGAGGCTCCTACTCTTCACTCCTTGGATTTATTTTTCTTTAAAAAAAATATTTAAAATTACATTCCACAACGGTAAACAAAATGGGAAAGAATTAAAAAAAATTAGTGTAAGTGTGACAAACATGGCAAATCTAGAAAATATGACAAATGTAGTAAATATAGCGAACGTAACACGTAAACTAAATAAATTCCCCCAATTACGAGGCCAACGTGGAATTACATATTATTTAATGGAATTTTCATAAATTCAATTTATGAAAATTTTTTATACATTTGTAAGATATGATTAAATATTCATTACATGCATGGAAATGTATTAAATCGTTTATTTTAAAAGAATTTGCAAGCCCATTTTATAGAATTATGTGTACACCACCCTGGTCTTTGCAATAAATTAATCATTTTTACGGTTTATGTATATGTATATATTTAGGTAAGGAACCAAAATACATATTTATTTAATTTTATGATGTTGTACGGTACTATATAATGATATTTACCCCATTCTCAATTTAGTACAAAAAAAAAAAAAAAAATATAATTAATAACTAGTGAGTGTAACACAATATCTATTTAATGTTATTAGTCCATCCATTTTAATGTATTATTGGATGAGACGTTTTTGCGTGTGTATATAAGTGAAATAACAATATTTTGTTTGTTTGATGTGAGTATAAAATAATTAAGTAATGTATATAGCCTACAGTATACTATTAGATATGTTTCCCTAGCTAATATGTATATATATAAGACATTTAAAATTAGTGTTATGTAAAATTATTCATTTATATATATATAATAAAAAAATAGGAAGTCTTTATTTACTAGTCTCTTGTTTTATCGTGCTTAAATGCATAACAATTTTTATATTTCTTGTCATACATAATTGTGGTATAAAATATATATATATATATATATATATATATATATATATCGCTGCTTAACCAGAATATTCAAATTTTCTAAATTTTTGTGCCAATTTAATTGAGGTTTAAAAGATTTTGCATCATAGATTCACAAGAGTTAATTTATATTTTAAATAAAGATGGGTTTAATTATTTTGTTTTATATTTTTTAAATCTTGCGTTTGTGCACAATACATGTATGGGTTCATATTTATGTTTTAAGAACCCCCCAAATGTATAATATATGCAAGCATATACGTACGTATATATACAAGTATTATATTATATATATATTATATATGCAACACTGCTTTAGTAATGAACAACGCACGTTGTAAAAAAAAAAAAAAAAAAAAAAAAAAAAAGGCTCCAAATAATTAAAAAATAAAAGTATCAAAGGATAAAAAATATAATAATAATGAGCAAGTTATAGGTCAAAAAAAAGAGTCGATTCATGATTTAAAATTTTCTCAGGGTGGAATCTAGTCCTGAATAGAATAAATTATTGAAAATTTGCTTTGGTAAAAAATAAAAATTTAGCCTATAATAATATATATTATATATCCCCTCCCTGTTTTTATGTATTTTATAATAAAATATATATGTTGATATAGTGCTTAAAAAAATATTCTACAAATTTTTTTGTGTTTATAAGTATGTAACGATTAATTTTATATAAAAAGTTTAAATTTAATTATTATTATATATAAAGATTAAAATAATGTTATTTTAACATAATTAACGGCACTATTTAATTTTTACGAATGTGATTGTATAAAAATAGTTACATATATATATGTAATAATGTAAAATAAACGAATAACTCATTTATCGTGAAGATATAATAATTTTACGTCTTTCTATTGTTACTAACAAAAAAATATATCAGTTTTTTTATTAATAAAACATTTATAACAACGATTAAAATAGTATTTATATATTTATGTAGATATATATATAAAGATTTCTATGAAATAATCCATTTGAATAGCTGATGATATACGGATTATTTATATATATACATCTATATAATTGTAAATCTGCTTATTTAAAAGTAGAAGCCATGTGATTTTTTTTTTTTTCATAAATGTGTATAAAGATTTTATTAAATGTTTTTTAAGGTATGATTTTATCACAAATTTTTACCACTTTGTTTTACTTAAATAAGCTATATTTTGTATGTAAAATACCCCTGTTAGTTGTGTAATGATTAGTATAGTTTTAATATTGTAATGGATTATTCCGCAATGGACATATTACGTTGCAATTCTTTTGTTTTATAAATGATTACTTATATACATTAAAAAAAAAAAAAAAATTGTGTTTATAAGCTGTGTGTCTCAATAAATGAAGGCTTTTTATTTATTAGAAATAAACAATTAATGCCTTACAAATGTTATTCATTTAAATACAATTCATGTATATCCAAATTTACAATAGGACCATTCATAAATGGAAAAAGTAAGCCCCTTTTTATTGCATAACATTGTATTTCCATTTTTTCCATTATATGCATTATTTGTTCTTGCTAGTATCCGTATGCATATAACTATTATCATTTTTATTTTTTATGATTGTGTTTGTCATACATTTTTAAGTGTCTCAGCCCTTTTATGAATTTGCTTTTCGGATAAAGGCACCTAGTGTTACAATTTCGTCTGAATGTAAATTTATTAATGAGCTTACGAATGTGTTGTTATTTGTAATATCCAAAATATTATTCTCCTTTTTTTTTTTGCATTAGGACTCGAAATATCACCATTTACCTTCCTACGTATATTACGATAAATTGAATGATGATATAGTTGAAGATGATGAAAATGCATATTGGAACTCCATAGAATCATCGTTTGAAGAAACGCCATGGATTCGCGATGTTTTTTTTAAACTGGAAAGAAATTTAACTGAAATAAATGAAAGTCGTGCTGAAGACAATCTAAGTAAGAAACATTGTTATGATTTAAACTATTGGTTATATGAACAGGTGTATGCAAATCTTAATAACAATGAAAATGATGAAAATTTTTATAAAATTATTGACGGTCTTCAAGATGCATGGTCAGATATAAATAAAGACAAATTCCCCAATGAAAATAACTTGTGCTACCCTGATAAGACGTTAACTGATATGCATTATTTAAAAGATGTTAAACACTTGTTTGACTTTATTGAAGATTTTTCTACCATTAAATCTGAAGCTATTAAGGATACCAATAGTGCATGTTATAAGTATATTGATCATCTTAAAGAAAAGGTCCCTTTATACTATGAATGGAGTGGAATATGCACAATGGAGGAAGAGAATATATGTACAAAATATATTGATGAGTATCCAAAATATAATCCTAAAAATGTATTGCAAAATTTGTCTGTAGCAAGTCTTGCGTTTTCATCCATATTTAATGAATGTTATCAAAATATTATAAATCTGTTTTCAGAAGCAGAAAAAATCCCTCCACGTACTGAACTTAAGCATAGAAATATAACAGGGCAACCTGACAGTTCTATAGTAAAAGTAGGGGGTAGGGTTTTAGCAGAATCTGGAAGTGATACATCCCAACCTGGAAACATGTTAATTGGCATTAATGCTTTAGCTACTTCAGTATTTACTGTGTTAAAACAATTCAACTCTTATGTGCTCAGAATGGTTGCCCCATTGAGTGTTTCACTTTTGAGCCTATTTTTATTTATATATGTCTTGTATAAGGTAAAAAAAAAAAAAAATAAATAAAAAAATAAGTAAATAAATAAAATAAAATAAATGTGTATATATGATGTTATTTTATTTGTGAAAAAATTTACATTTATACATTGAACTTTTCATATTACTATGTTTTTACTTGAGTGAAATAGAATAAATATGAATTATTATTAACTTTTTATTCCTTTTTTTTTTTTTTTTTTTTTCATAGTTTACTCCAATTGGGAAATCTATATTATATACCCACGGGAGAATAAAAAGCAAACTAAGTCAAAACACAAATGATGATAAAAACGATGACGACGATGATGATGGTGATGATGATGATGATGATGACGACGATGATGATGGTGATGATGATGATGATGATGACAGCAGCATGAAATCATCAAGTGAAAGTTTGGATTCATTAAAGAGTCTTTCTTAGGGGAACATAAAATCACAAAGATCAAATGCAGATTTACCAAATGGAGTATAAGTTTAGCTGAAAAACAGTTTTAATTATTATAATATGAGAGCAAAGTTTTAGTAACATTTCAAGTTCAAAATTAAAAAGAATGTTTATAAAATAGATAAATGGAAACAATGAAGAGACTGTATATATTTGTACACATTATATATATATATATATATATATATCTATATATACTTTATGCAAACTCACCTCAATTTAAGGTATCTATAGTAATGTAGAGAACATTTTATGGTGACATTGATGCAGAACGTGGGCTGAGAAAAAAGAGAAAAAAAAAGAAGAAGCACACATGCAAATTAAAAATGCGTAAACACATTCTCTGAATAAATAATTTGAAGTTAACAGAACGGAATGCCAAAAGAGGGAGAGGAACACAACCCTTGTGTCATCAATTACCCTTTGATTCACACTTTTGCTAAGCAGCAATGTGAAAAATACTAAAAGAAAGGATTATCTTTCTCATGGGATAGAAAGAAACACCTGAAATGGATTGGAAATATAAGCTCGAATTGATTTCCCTATATTGTCTTTTTTGTTGTTTGCATAGGAAATTACTTAAAGGAGACGCTTACAAATAATTTGTGGTAGTAATAAATTTCTGTGGTAAACAGAAGAAATTCCTTGTGGGTAGAAACAACATCAAATAATCGTATACTTTTATAAGTCATCATGATAAAACTGTAAATCGTGTTCATACAAAAACACACATATGATTATGTAATATTGTTATATAAGTTTGTTGCAATAAAGTATACTGGAATAGGCTTAGTAAAAATTGACGATTCAATTATAATAAGCTTATGGATTGTTAGCAATTGTGCAAAATGGCAATATATTGGACATTATGAAAAGTTACAGAAAGATGTAAATATATAAATAGGAAATTTATGCAAGGCATATCACATATAATTCTCATTGATTAGCTGATAATATTATCGCACAGAATTGTAACCGAGGGACGGAACATTAGTTAGTGCACATTCTATAGGGTTTTGAAAAGTGTATTGACACAAGGGTACTATAAAAAGATGTTATAACGTATGACAAAATAAAAGTTTCACATTATATAATTTGAGAAATTTGCGTTCCTCTGATGATCAGATAAATGATACATACCTTTAAATAGACTATAATATATTTATGAATTCGTGAAAAATGTGGACGAAAAATTATGCATTATAAACTAGATTTCACTTTTGTGATGTTTATTTTTTCTGAGTTCGTTTACACAAAAGTTACTACAGCAAAGACCATGACACATATTAAATATAACAGTTATTATTATTATTTTTTTTATAATTAACATTATAGTGACTATTTGATTTAGTAAATATTAAATTCATCATTTCGTATGAAAATATAATGAATTGTGGTTACATAGAAGATGAAAAAAAAAAGTGAGGAAATTTTTCTGTGGGAAATTTTTATTTTATTGTGCACGAATCAAATATTATTTTTTTCTTTTGAAATATTGGAGAAAATATGAATATATTTTTATGAGAACAAATATAAAGAATATGTTAAGACATGAAATAATATGGTGGAATGTTAAGTTTTGCTATTCAAAGGCAGTATTAATAATTTATCTTAATTATTAAAATTAAACAAATGTTAAAAACCACTAATTTGGGCTCTCACCCTCACTAATATTTTGACCTATTTTTGTGTTTTTTACAAAGAATGAAATGAATAAAGTTTAAGAGCAAGAAGAATAGCACAATGTGTAATTATGCATAATATTCAAGAAAACAAAATAGATACACTTAATTGAAGAATATTTGAAAACGGTAGGAAGAAACTAATAATTTATTGGGTAACTTTTAAGGAAAAGACGAATCCGTAATTCATGAATTAATAAAAATAGTACATTAAATTGAAATGCTTTAAAACGTGCTCATTATTGGGGGTTAAATTATTGAAAATTCCTTTGAATTAATAAAATTCTATAAAAATTAGTACAAGATATTTAGATATTACGTGCCTCTACAGACATTTTATTAGATTATTGTATATGTATAGACAATAAACATGTTTGCATATTTTATATTAATTTATTGTACATATTAAAAAAAAAAATAATTTTTTATTTATTTATTTGTTTGTTTATTTTATTTTTTTTTTTTTTTGGTGTTCCTTGCTTAATTTATTCATCACTATTTGAAATATAATGATTTTTAATTAACAATATTAAACACTTTTGTATTGTTGACATTTTCATTTAATTAATTAATTCATTAATTATTAATTTAAGGCATTCATAGTATATTTTATAATAAATATACAATATATTGTTATTTACATTTTTTTTTTTTTTTATGGGAAAAATTTAATTACAAAAATATAGAAATTTTATTATTATCTTCTATATTATTATAAAAATTTTTGTGATGTATGATAAAAGCGTGGCTCAGCTGTTATAAGATTTAGTATAATATATATATGTTTAAAACTGATATGAAGCATCAGTTATTTATCAATATTAAAACTAAATCAGTAAATTAATTTTAAAATTATACCTTGTGCACAGCAAATCATTCTGCTTTTAAGTTTTAATATTATAAAAGTACCCCTTAAGAAGTTATAATAATTATGTTAGGGGCAACATTTTATATATTATATATTTTTTTATTAATAAAAAAAAAATATATAGAGATTTATAAAATCTTTTTGTTTATAGCCTTATTAATAAGAAATTTTTTTTCAAATTGAATAAAATGAGAAATGAAGCTTTCAAAAATTATAATTCAGAATTAAAACACTACTTTGTGAGGCATTAATTTAAAAATATAAATCATTTAATTTAACTACAGTCAAAACCTTAAAACTTTATTCTTACCCATCATTGAATTTTCTACAATTTATAAATAATGAATATAACATACAATAACTTTTTTTGGTTACTGTTTTTAAATGTTTTGTGCCGCCTATTATAGTATAAAAATATTTTCTTTTAAATTTTATATTTCTGATTTATTATTATTTTATTATAATTAAAATTAATTATATGTATAAAGGAATAAATGGGGTGTTTTGCTACGGAATTAATTTTCTAGGAATATAATTTTTAGAAAAAGTAAGGAAGCCTGTACCCCGAAATTATTGATTTAAAGAATATAGGAGGGATATATATCACTTTTATTAATTTGTTTTTCTCCATGTTACAAATAATTTTATAATGTTTTTAGAAACTGGTTATTATTTTGCTTTCCTTTTTTTTCTCAAAACAACATATTTAAAAAAGTTTTTTTACATATCCTAGAGACAAAAGAATTAATTTTATGTATTTAGAAAAACTTGAATATTTTGAAGAACTTGAATATTTTGAAAAAATTGAGTGTTTTGAATATTTATTCCCAAGTTCTTATTAATTTTTTTTTTAGTTTTTTACGAATCATTTTTGTAAAATTGATTATAAATTGTTTTTTAGTTGGGTATTTTTGTAGTTTTTTCATTAATATTATATATATGTGGGGAAGAATTTATGTGGTTTAAAAAAGAAACATAGAAACGAATAAATCAAAGGAATTTGCTAATTCTTATTATACTTTTTTTTTATTATATATTAGTATTGTAATATATATTTTTAATTTAAAATAATATAGAGAATATTCAAGTATTATCAATTAAGAGTGCGATGATGGAAAACATAAAATCTCTTAATTTTTTTAAAGTTGCTACAACTATCATCATTTTAGTTTGGAAAAGTGAGAATTATGGTGATTCGGTAATATAATAATGACAATAAAAATACTATTTAGTATATATTTTTTTTTTTTTTTAACTTAACATTTTTACTAGTTAAAACAGTACTGATACAATGTAGAAATTGATTGACGCTTATGTCTGTGTAAATAATAAAATTTTTTGTGTATTTTTTATTATTAGGATATCTTTAGTATATCATTAAATAAAAATGTGAATAGGAATGGCGAATGTGTTAAGATTCAAAGAATATTAGCAGGGAATAAAAGGAGAAGAGATTCAATATTTACAGATTCAGTTGAGGACTTGTTAGCAGGTAATCATCATAGTCGAGGGAGAGAAGTGTTTGATTACAATGATCATATGACGTCACGATATGATAATGATGAAGAAGATGATGATTATCTATCATCACGATATGAAGTACACGAATACGATTTCATGGACACACCTAAGAGTGAAAAGATGAATTCAAAACACAGATCATCATCAAGAAATGGTAGACTACATGATGAACGAGAAAAAAATAAGAAAGTTCAAAATAAAAAACATGTCTCTAATAGAAATGAAAAAAATCATAATCTTAGTGAAAATAATATTTTTGATTCACTGGATGATTTAGACAATTATGAAGGATATTATTGGGTGGATAAAAGAATCATGAAAAAAAGTGGAAATAAAAATTCTATGAAAGAATTGACTGCGCACGGTGTAGCAGCATTATCTCCACTACTTATATTGTCACTATTTATGTCGTCTACCTTATTGTTTTACACTTTTATTGGTTCCGTTTGTGGTGTGATAGGATATGCTTATAGAAAAAAAAACAAAAATTCTTATGGAAGAAGACATGATTTATAAGGTTTAACCGATTAAATTAATTTTGGTAAAAGGATTGATCACAAAACTGTAAAATTTTAGTACATTTTACACATAACATGAAATGGAAAAGAAGGATAATGCCTTATGTTTGAATACTTAATTTTTACAATATAACAAATGTGGCATAAATATTTTTAACTATTTTGTCACAGAATAATTGCACACACATATATATATGCACAAATATATCATTAAGTTTACGAAAATTATAATTTTTTTTTTTTTATTCATGTTTTAATTTAAAACATATTTTTGAATGGAATTATTAATTTGACGTAATATATCATTTACGCAAGCAATTTTGTTCTTTGATACAAGTGAATAATTTGACATTGCATAAAATTTGTGTGCATGTATCATTTCTTTTACACATAACGAATTTCTTCATATATCTGTATATTTTTATGAAAAATATGAGTTATGGGTATTATGCTTAATAATTGTGGCAACAGTTTATAGGGTTAAATATAATTAATGAGTTAATTAAAGCTTTTATATGATAAAAGTAAAATTTTGTTTTTGATTTTTTTTGTGTAAAATTGTTGTTTGATGTAGTTATTTAGCTTAAAAAAAAAATATATATATATATATGTCATTTGCTTTTTGATGTGTTATAATTGCAGTAATATATATGTGAACATAAACATCTATACTTTGGTATAAAAAAATATCAACCTATGAAACGATAAGTTTTCCTATTTTCATTTCTAATATGAATTCTTATAACTCTTACATATTACTATTATTTAAAAGCCACAAAGGAATATTATAATTTCGAAATATATACAGAACTATAGTGTATTATAATTATATTGCGACGGATAAAATTATAGCATCCACATATACTTAAAAAGAAGAAGAAATTATTTCTGGATTTATTAAGTCCGCATACTGCATCACACACCTTTGCTATAAAACAGAGAATACATAATTTTAATAAGTAGGTATATGTTGTTGGTATTTGATAAGACATCACAGAAAATTTCGGCAGAGCTGTAAATGCTAAGGCACTTACAACATAGTGGTGATAAAATATTTTAATTGATTAGTAAGAATTATTATTATATAATTTTTATTTTTCCAAAAGGTACAAAGAGTGTGTGAAATTTTTTTTGAGATGAAATTTCTGAGAAAGTATTTTTTTTTAGTTAAAGAAAAAAAAAAAAACTATTAAGATAAATGAAATCATAACTATGAGGTTAATTTATATATTCTTAAATAACACGAAAAAAAGAAGCCACAGAAACAACAGGAAAGTGAAAAATTAGTGAATATTTGTCATATGGATAAAAATATTTTTGACACCTTATGGACATGTTATTCATTAGTGTACGTATGAATATTTTAAACAAAAACACATCTACTTGTTTTTCTCTACAAACATATAAATTTAAACTGCTAATGTTAAATTTTGTTAACTGACAATTGTATATTATCATTATATAGATGTTTTAACTTGCAGTTTTGTATCAATAGTACTATAAAAAATTTTTTTCCTCCAAATTTAAAATAAAAATCACAGGAATTGTAATACTATGTTTCATATTCTATTATATTTTACACTGTTTGAAGAGCTAAATGATTTGGTACATTTTTATATTGTTAAAGATCCATAATAGATTAAATTGTTTGTTAAGTCGATTGTACATCATGTCCTTTTTTTTTTCCCCTTTTATTTTTATTTTTTTTGATTTTTACTAGTGTATACCTAGACCTTAAAATAGATAAATTATTAATAATAAGAAAAAATAATTATATATTTAAAAACGTTAGTATATAGCAATAATATATTATTAATAGAGATAGTATAATTAACATATGCTTATGTACAACTGACTAATATATTAATATTATAAAGCATATTCAAGCGGGTTAAAATATGACATAATTCGAGCTAGGAATATAAATGTAGATATAATTTAGGATGTTTCTCTATTATTTTGAATTATCCCTAATATAATTTTTTAATAATTGAAGGGTTTGTAATGTGGTTGTGAATTAATTTTATGTTTTCATTTTGATTTAATGAATCCATTGATTTTTTTTTTATTATGCCAATACATCATTTAACGTCGTATTGCTATTAATATGTATAATATTTATAAGAACTTTTATAATATTTAGGACATTTTAAATAAATACTTCTACATTCAAATCCCAACTAACTTTAGATATTGCGAATCAATGCCACGAAAAATGGGAGATTCGGTATAACCTTTATTTTGACTAATATATTTTAAAATATATTAACATGTGTATTATGTGTCTAAATGATTTACAGTTAATAAAGTTTGTAGAGATATTTATATTATATTTATTCTTAAGTTGAATAAAAAATATGAATGAATTATATATATTTTTAAAGAACCAAATTAGACATTTTTACATTTACTTTAAAACAAATGAAAAGTTTTTACTTTATTACAACTCAAATGTAATGAAGTGCATCATAACATAAAAAAAAAAAATTAATCAATATTTATTAAAATAGATGTAATCAAAAAAACGATGATTTAAGAAAACTATCTTTTACACATCGTTATCTAATCAACATAATAATTAGCAATTAACAGCTTGTTTAAATAGTTACATATATATATATATGAAGATCATATTTTTCATAATTGTCTGCACACATAAACGTGTGCAATAATATTAAACTCTACAAAACATGATGTATTTATAAATGTACATCTAATGAATTATACTGAAAAAACGGCAAATAATATAACTAGGAGTTTGATAGAATACACATTTTTTTTTAATTATATATAAAAATATATTTAATAAATTTATTGACAGATTGGACAGGATTATATATATATATTGTTTTACAGATACTAAGCATGAATCCAAATAATACTTAATGCTATATGTAACATAAAGAGCCGTAGTCATATTCAGATTTTCTATATTCTTGTTTAAAATAAGAAATGTAATCAGCTAATTTTGGTTTTAATATACCTTTTAATATTAACTTATGCTTTAAAATTTTTGCGAAAATATATGTAACAATGCACATGGGTAAAAAAGGAAATATCATTGTTATAGGAATTAAACTTGGAAAAAACAAAGGGGCTTTCATTAAAACGTAAGATCCAAAAAAATTTGCAATCGATAGTATAACCGATAAGGCAACGGCGTCTTTGAACATTATTATAAAAATTTTTTTTTCCTTAATATTGCTTTTCTTTGACATATTTCTTATTTCACTAATTTTTCTGAATAATCGCTTTTCAAAGTGTCTATCAACTTTTTTTAAAATGTTTTTTCCTTTTGGTTCATAATTACACATTCCTTTGGTAAAGTTCATTTCTTTCAATTGTCCACCCTTTAAGTAATCATGCTTTGGATTATACATTACACCATGCATTGATAATAATCGACTTGTTCTTGAATCTAATGTTTTATCTAGTTTCTTTACTACATTAATAGCCCCATTAAGAGAATCCTAAAGAAATGATAATAAAAATAACAATTTTTAATCACAAATCTGTGGTTTTACTGCATTAAATAATTACATTTAAAAGCAAAGAAAATTATTAAATATGAGAATAAATTTAAAATAATCTAATTTTACATCATTATTGTGATAAAGATATAACGAAATTATAAGAAGAAATGTGGAAAATTTACTAAGAAAAGGAAACTTAATACTTCTCACCATCTTATCTTGTTCTTAATATTGTTTTGTTATGTTTTATGTAAAGAAATGGTTATATCTATATTAATATATTTTAAATATAACATTTCGCAATTAGTTAATTATTTTCCACAATGATATAAACAAGGTTCTTATAATTTTCTAATAGCTTATTAATATATGTATATACGTATATATGTATTCTTTTTTAATGCAATAAAAATAGATGTGAATATCTTTTAAAATAAGTTGACAAAATTAACATGCTTAAATTATTTTTATGTATAAGAGGATTTCAATTAAATATAGTTAAACTGACATGTACAAATTCTGAATATATAAATTATTAGTTTAATAAATTGTAAGTTATGTAATTGCCACATGAAATATTTGTCAATTAAACAATGGAATAAAATGGTATATGTATAATTCAAATAATCTATCAGGTATGATAAATGTTTTATAAAAGTAAAAAATAATATTTCATTTAATTAAAATAACATTTAAGCGTCATAATGAAATTTTTTCTAAAGAACCCCAATATTTTGAATGTTGTCAAAGGAAAATAAAGACAATCTTTTTCAACATTATTGGTTCCTATATATAAAAAATAAAAGTTATAAAATGCCTTTAATTATAATTATATATTATAAAATTCATAAAGACATAAAAAAAAATGTAATAAGTTTTTTATATATTATAGAATAATGAAAATTTTATATTTTTAATTTACCACCTACTACATATAAATACATTTTATTAAATTATATAAAAAATTAATTATTTATATTAGTAAAACAACTTTAGAACGTTAAAAATAATATACTAAAGAAGGAACCAATAATAAATGATTTTTTTTTTTCTTTTAATAAAATAAATATTTTATATAGAGTAAAAAAAAAAAAAAAAAAAAAAAAAAAAAAACTTACAAAGTGCAAAACCGATTAAATGAATAAACATGTATTATCATAGAAAATTCATAAACATTTTCAGGTAATTATTTATAATACGTAAATAAATACTTTTGAGAAAGACACTAATAAATGTGGTTTTAAAAATAAGGAGTTTTATGAAATCCTTTCAAAAAATGTTTTTTGTTGTTTTTTGGGTTTTTTTTAATAAAACCTCCAATTAGAGCATTTTTTAAGTATTAATAAAAAAATATTTTTAAGAAAAATTTAGAATTAGGTTAATGGAAACTTCGCAATATTAAGTAAGTTGCTTGAAATAGAAAAGGTGATATCAATTTTTAATTTTTATGTTTTAAAATTGAGAGGTTCATAATAATGATAGTTCATATATTATAATGTTTCCTTTATAATTTATATGTAACTTT